AAGCTTCCTAGGGCCTCTTAGCTCCACCCCCTTCTGTTTTATGCTCTGACTCTATCAACTTCTATTACAGGTCATGCTAATGTTTACAAGTCCCCACTTTTTACCCCTACCTTGGACACCCAAATCCACATGTGATTCCACTCATTAGGGCCTCAGACCTGTGGTGCCAGGTGGGCAGGGAGGTGGCTCACAAGGGTCCAAGGCAGAAGTGGCATCACAGAGGGTCCATGGAGGACAGGGCTCTCAGTGTCTCTCTCCATACCCATGTACCCCACTTCCCACATGCTCAGGACCTCCTGTCCATGGATGAGACTAACCACAGTTGGCTGGGACCAACTCTATCCATTAGCAATCAAGAAACTATGCCCACAGTCAATGTAATGAACACAATCCTCAGTTGAGGGCTACTCTTCCCAGGTGTTTCTAATTTGTGTTGAGTTGGCAAATTGTGCCCAGCACAGGCAGTGAGATAAGTTTTTTGGTAATAAGAGAGACATAAGGTTATTTGGTTTTCTTTAAAAGCACAAAACAAAACAAACCATGATGACCATTTGTTGATAGTAGGTCTGCTGAGAGGTGTGCCTGTAGTGATTCAGACTGACAGGCTCTAAGATGGGAGGAATATTTATTTTTAAACCCATTTGGTCTCACCAGATTATGACCAAGCGAATTGAGGAAATTTAAAACAATTCTATCCAAAGACATTTGAAGACGAGAACCAGTAATTGTAAATCTTACTCTTTGGGGATTGGTGGCCGTGCTGATGCTAAATAGAGCCCAACCTACCATGTTGATTACAGGTAGTGATGCTGGAGGTAACTTCACTGAAGAAATGGCTTGTTTAGTGCCATTGAGACACTAAATAAATCTATTTGTATGGGCAGTGGAAAAACATATCGGAAGTGGCTTCCTTTGTCCTTAACCAATCTAACTAGAACAGCTGCTGCCGATGCCCAGAGTTGGTAGTTCAAAGAGACAGACCCAGCCTGGTAGTGGTGGAGAAAACTTTTGATCCCAGCACTGGGGAGCAGAGGCAGCTGGATCTCTGAGGTCAAGCTCAACCTAGTATACAAGGCAAGTGTCATAACAGTCAGTGATACACAGAGAATCCTTGTCTCAAAAATAAATAATTGAATACATAAATAAAACAAAATAAAAATGTAAATTAAAATTAAAATAGAGGAACTTGTAAAATTATGAGAATACAGTGCAATTACCACACTAACCTCATGTTTCATGATGTGTCCATGCAGAGTTCATCAAGAACATTTATGCACAGAGAAGAAGGTCTCACTGGGAATGGTGGGCAATGAGAGAGCATGATTTTAGGAAAAAATGACCAAAATATATTGAATACATATATGAAACTGTCAAATAATGCAAAATAAGTTTTAAGAGGGCTTTTAATGCAAAATAAATGAAATATGGGTAGCATCATATAGATTATTGTCATTTCTGAATTTCATAAGGATCAAGGGATTAAATCATCTCCAATGCAAGGAATTCCTGAAAAGTGTTCATGTGAACTATGGTGAAATCATTTACATTTCAGAGGTAAGAAGACCAAGCTAAGGACATTACCAAAACATTGTTAAGTTACTTCCAATGTTGTAAGCAATATTTATGCCAGAACTTGGGATGAATATTCAATTACAGATTGAATTTTAGTGAATTTGACTGTTCATTTCATCTTTAACAGAAAACTAAAATCTCAATACCATGTTTAGCAAGGTACATGCTCCAGGCATTGGTGGATTTACTGTAAGCTCAAATTAAGGTCAATAATTGCATGCTTTTCAAACAAGCTGAATATGATTTTGTATACAGTGATATAGCTTTGCTATTACATTTGAGAGAGAATTTGAAAACAGATATCAAGATTTCCAGAAATAATGTCATTTTTTTTTGTATAATCAGAAGTCGGTTTTTTATTTATTTATTTATTAAAGATTTCTGTCTCTTCCTTCCCACTGCCTCCCATTTCCCTCCCCCTCCCCTATCAAGTCTCCCTCCTTCGTTAACCCAAAGATCAATCAGGGTCCCTGCCCTGTGGGAAGTCCAAGGACCACCCACCTCCATCCAGGTCTAGTAAGGTGAGCATCCAAACTGCCTAGGCTCCCACAAAGCCAGTACATGCAGTAGGATCAAAAACCCATTGCCATTGTTCTTGAGTTTTCACAAGTCCGTTTTTCATCAGCATATGTTATCTGCCAATGTTACCTTCTGATTTTCAATTAGAAATGCCTAGAACTGCAGTCCTTCATTCAACCTAAGAACATTTTTGATCATGTCCCTTATCTACATTCATGGGCCTCTTACAGGACCTTCTCAGGTGAGACCTCACCCTTCACCGTCATACTGGATTCACACCATCAGCTTTTCATAGCACCTACACTTGTGAGTCACAGGTCTCAGGAACTGAGCATGCAGGCCTGGAGAGACGGCTCAGACATATTAATGGTAGAGATTGCTCTGGCAGAGGGCCCAAGTTCAGTTCTGAGCACCCATGCTAAATGTCTCATAACACTTGTAACCTCAGCTCCTCTGGCCTCCAAGGGCATGTGTACCCAAACCTGAACACAGACACATACACATAATCAATAGTTAAAAATCCTTGACATGAATACATGAATATCCTCTAGATATGATGAGGGAACTACACCTGTGAAATATCAGCAATATGACTGCTCAAATAAGACCTGAATAATACAGCACCAGTTGACCTTCCAAAGTATTTGGGGAAAATCAAGGGCCCCATCCCAAGATGAAGAGCAACAAACTATAAAGTGCTGAGAGAGGAAGAAATAGTCTTCTCCAAAGACGAGCTCCCCTAATCCAATCCCATGTGGTCAGACCTAAAATAAATATGTATTCAAACAATAATAGGCTGACTCTGTAAGCTGCATTTATTTATATTTTTATGTCTGTGTATTTTAAGAGAGTAAAGAGAGAGGATTATAACTGAAGATTAAGAGACCTTGAATCAGAAGGGGATGGAGCCACCTGGGAGGAGCTAGAGGGATAAAGGTGAATGGTATGATTTTATTTTAATTTTTCTATTAATTCCAAGTGTTAAGCACACTAACAGTAAAATCAGAACCAAAATATCTCACCCCATCTCAGGAATTCACTGAGATCAATGCTCTGTCCAAAAAGGCAGTTGTGTCCAACAAGTCCATTTGCTTTTCAAAAGCATAGTCCAATAGCCCGCAAAGTTCGTGTTGTCCTCATTCACTGTTTTTGTTTGTTTGCTGTTTCTTTTGTTATTTTTTTCCCTTTTCTGAGACACTGCTTCTCTGTGCACCCTCAGCTGTCCTGGAACTCACTCTGCAGACCAGGCTTCTCTTGAACTCACAGAGATATGTCTGCCTCTGTCTGCTGAGTACTGGAATTAAAGGTGTGTGTCACCAAGGCTCCCTTTAAGTTTAGGATAAAAGCAATCTAAAATAAATACTACTACTTAGATTGTTCAATTTCTTTATTAGATATCACTAAATTGGAGCCTGCTCCATAGTTTTAAAAGATTCCCTCCAAGGTGTACCATATAATTAAGATTGTTATGTAAGGATTTTGGTGCAGAAAGGATTGTATGTGCAGACAATGTATCAGTCATATATGATTCCTTTTCATGGAGGAATTATCAATTTTCATTATATCTTATATAGTAATGTATATCCCAAAACAGTTATCCCTTCACTGTGACCCAGATATGCCACAAAATTCCAACCCCTGGACCGGATGAGTAATTTAGATCCAATTAATATATGGACTGCAGTTCACAACTAGGATAGGAAAGACTCAATGGAGACCAAATATGAAAGGAGGAAATTAAAATATCTCTGAAAATCATAGAGCTATGCCGATAAAACAGGACCTGGGTTGCTCTGGGCTTATCTGGATGCTCTCTCTCTCTCTCTCTCTCTCTCTCTCTCTCTCTGTCTCTCTCTCTCTCTCTTTCTCTCTCTCTTTCTCTTTCTCTCCCTCTATTTCTCCCTCCCCCCCCCCACAAAACCCTACACTCCTCTGTTCCTAGAGCGAGGCCAGCCTGTCTCACCTCCCAGAGTTGATCTCACACAGCTCTAACCATCTGTTCTCCAAGCTCAGATCCTCAGCTCACTCCACTATATATTAACCTTTTCATGGGCTGGGTCCCTGTCTGTCTCAATTCCGGATCTAGCTCACTAAATAATCATTTAAGATCTTACCAGGGCCTTTTTTTATCTACAGAAAATCCTAGGCAATGTTGTAGAAAATACCACTACAGTCTTCAGCAGGAAAGTCAGGGCTGATGTAATCTTACTTATGTCTTAAGAGAGAAATGCTAATACATATTGATCAGGAAACCGATGCTTGTCAATTGTGATTTTTTTATTATACTTATGTTTGTATGATAGTAAGACACATATTGGCCACAGCGTATCACTTGCTTTAGAGATTTCTCTGTGACACCCTAGCAGTTTAGGAAAGTCAGTGAGTGAAGATTAATTGATCAGACTATTTGAAAGAATGGTTCCTCAGTATGATCAGAACTCCTAGAGGTTAATGAGATGAGGTACTAAATTTCTGCATAACCAAATATGGCTCTATATCAACCCTCACAAAATACTGTATAACATAGTCTATGTATTTGTTGTCCAGTAACTGTATCTTCCTTGTCTGTATTATATAAAATGCAAAGAAAGAGAGACTCCCCCCCCCCAAAAAAAAAGCCAAAAGATTTCTTACCAGAATTCAAAAGAACATGAGAGATAAGAAAGTACATTCTTTGGGTTCAATGCAGACACTGGACTTCCTGGGTTCTCAGGGCCCCTTAACCACAGCCTCCACACGTTCTACTTTCTTGGTCTTTATCCCAGCTCAGCTCATGTCAATGTGGTGACGGTGACATTTTTACCCAAACCAGAAAATGACCTTAGCTAATAAAGCCAATCAGAGCAGAGGTGCACAGGTTTAAAAGGCCTGTGAGGTCACTGAGCGCTCACGTCCTCATCCTTCAAGGCCTGTGTCCACTCTGCCCTATTCAACCCGAGAGCCTTCCTAGGAAGATGGCAGCAGTCCTGATTCTCCTGACCTTTCTTCTGCCACTTGGAGCTGGTGCAGGTGAGTGAACACCGGGTTCTAGAGGCGCCTTCCCATAATACCTCTGTGGAGTCTCTGCCTAGTTCTAGTTAAAAACTGTCCTGCACTGAACCAGGAGCTTCCTGAACCTCAGGTCCTAGACCAACCCATACCTGAAAGCCTGTCACTGGCTAGATCGTCAACAAGGTCTGAAGAAGAGCGGTGTTCTCAGAGGACATGGTGGGCACTAGCGTCTCCCTGCTCTTCGTGTCACCTGGAGATGGATCATCTCAAAAGAGAGTAGTAGCAGAGAATGCAAAGTTACTAAAAAGGACATCATTGATTTTACCTGAGCCCAGATCCAGGGCAGCTTTAATGACCAGTCAGCAATGGTGTAAGTCCACCAGCTCAAGAATATTATCATAATTTAGCAACCTCCCCCATCAATTGCTGAAGAAAGAGGCCCAGAGTGGCAAATGCCAGCATTGCACCCTCCACTACATTTGCAGTTTTTGTTGGCCTCTCCACTTCTTTCTGCATGTCCCTAGCTATTCCTGTCTTTGGCAGCACACAACTCCAATGGCCCCAGGGTCCTGAATCCCATGAGTTCTGAACCACTAGCCCTGCAGCTAACTAGAAGTCATTTATTAATGCAGCCAAAAGCATTTATTGAGAACCCAAGATGTTTTGGGCACTAGAATAGAATTTTAAAAGATCCACCCCATAGGGCTTGAGAAAAGGGATGAAAACATGATGCTAATCAGTACATCAGAGGGTCAGGGAGACACAGTAAGTGAGAAAAGACGAAGGCAATTCACCCAGGACCCCTCAGTGTAGACTCATGATTTAGAGCTTGCCCCTCCATGCATTTGTAAAGCAGGGCCTGGAGGACGAGTGCTACCCACTCCTTTTCAGAGCAGGGCCCTGAGGCTTACGATTCAGCAAAGATTATTCTATGTGTAAGAAATTCAATCTACAACATCTTGGGGAGCTGCAGATCCCATTGCCTTCACCCTCTTGACCCTATCTGCTGCTCCCAGACACCCCATATTCTGCCTTTTCTTTCAGAGAAGATCATCGGGGGCCATGAGGCCAAGCGCCATTCCCGCCCCTACATGGCATTTGTTGAATTTCTGGATGTTAAGGGGAAGAATGATTCCTGTGGAGGCTTCCTGGTGAAATCCAACTTTGTACTGACAGCTGCTCACTGCAGGGGAAGGTGAGGAGAAGCAGCTGGTCCATGATTTCTGAGACCCCAACAGGAGTTTCCATCCTCTACTTGTTGCTGCTTCTGTGAGAGCTCACTAGAGGGCAGGGCTGTGACAATGGAAGTCTGGCAACAGGGAAACTTTGAGGTCAAAGGGTGAGAGCCCAGAGTCAGCAGCCCAGTTGAGTTGAAAGCAAATGGACTGGTCAGACTACAGCAGTGGCCGAGGCTGAAAGTGCACATTCAGAGTCAATGCAAACTTTGGAAAATTGTGGAGAAGCAAGAGGGAGGAGTCTAGTGTCCTTGAGAAGACAAAGCAGTAGTTCACACCCCGAGGCCCTTCTGTCCCCCGAGTCCACCTCAGCTAGAGCCCCACCCTGTCCACACAGCCTCTTACAGCTCCTGCACTGCGTCCTCTCTCACTCCACATCTTGTATCTGCACTCTGCTCTCTACAGCGCAATGAGAGTCACTCTAGGAGCCCACAACATCAGCTTCCCGGAGAAGACCCAGCAGAAGATCCCTGTGGCTAAAGCCTTCCCACACCCAGGCTTTAATAACAAAACCTTCCCAAATGACATCATGCTCTTAAAGGTGAGAAGAGCCCTCATCCTTTCCAGGGAGCTGCTCCTCCTGCTCTCACCCCACTCCTTTCTTCTCTTCCATCCTGCTGTCTCAGCCCAGCAGTGAATGAGTCACACCCTTCCTTCTTATCACAGCTGGAGAGGAAGGCCCTAAAGACTGAATATGTGAGGCCCCTCAGCCTGCCCTGTTCTGAGGTCCATGTGAAGGCAGGGGATGTCTGCTCAGTGGCAGGTTGGGGTAGGAAGGCCCCAAATGGTAAATTATCAAATGTACTACAAGAAGTAGAGCTAACAATCCAGAAGGATAAGGAGTGTGAGTCCCGCTTTCAAGGCTATTACAACAAAACGATTGAGATCTGTGTGGGGGACCCAAAGATCAAGCGTGCTTCCTTTAAGGTAAGTTGGATTGTCCTTTCTGGGATCCATGGGAGGGGAAAAGAAATGTGGGACCTAGAGACCAAGCATCAGGGACTCCTTTCCCCTCTGGCTGTGATCTTTCTCCTTGGAAACCGCAGGAACCAGTAACTAACTAGGGCCTCAGAGCTGACAAGGAGCCTTGGTGAAGACAGTTGGTTTAAAGCAGGATTTGCACAGCCCTCCTGACTCCCAGACCCAGGCTTTAGAAAGCTGTGCTCCCTCTCTCTGTCGTTACTACAAGCAGGGACTCCTCAGAGCAGCCACCCACTTTTGTCAATGGTCTTGTCCTTCATGCTCACATGAGTCTCAACACCTGTCCACAATTCTAAACAACAGCTTGGAGCTGAAGGTCCCACACACCACAGAAAATGGATCATAGACTTGGAGTCTGGACTGTGGAGAGCGGTGAAGCAGTAACCCTGTCCAAAATCAGAGTGGAAAGCACAGGGGCCCCAGGTCTGCCCTCTGGTCTCCCTCACACAGAGCATACCAGTCATGCTTTATGGTGGGAGGCTGGGCTAGTGTGAAATCAGCTCAGTCCCCTGTGCCCCTCTCTATTTACAGGGCGATTCTGGAGGGCCTCTCCTGTGTAACAAAGCGGTTGCAGGCATTGTCTCCTATGGGTTTAAAAATGGTTCACCTCCGAGAGTCTTCACCAGAGTGTCAAGTTTCCTCCCCTGGATAGAAGAAAACATGAAACACAATTAACTACAGAGCAAACCAGACCCCTCCCTGACTCACCATCTTCCCTACAGCTGAGTCCAGAATTGTCCTAGGACAGAAGCCAGAATCTCAATAAAGTTCTCTTTGCAAGAATCGGAAGGCTGGTTTCATATCACAGGGACCAACTCTGTGCTAGGCAGGCCAATGGCACACTTCTATTTACTGCTCGTTCCTCAACCATGTACACACATTGTCCAAAGCTCAGGCGAGGCCATTGAGCAGCTCCTTTTTACTTGTCCCTCTGTGCAGTGCCTGCCCTTCTGACAGGCCCAAAGCTGAGCTTGGGTTTCTCTTGTCTTGGGGCTCAGGGTGAAGTTTTTCCTCCTCTGTGTCATATGGAAGAAAGGAGAGGGAAAACACCTTTGGTCTTGGAGATATGAAGACAGAGCTGAGGCCAGTGTAGATGGACCTTGCTGGGTAGACTATTGTTTTCCCACAGCTTCAACATTAAGGTGACAACAATTTCAGTATCCCCTCTTTCTCATGTATAATAAGTTTCACTATCCTCTGCTAGAAACAGGGCCATGTTCCTCCAGCCTCTTAGCTTCACCCCCTTCCATTTATGCCTGCTCTGATGAGACTATCAACTTCTATGTTTTACAGTCCATGCTAATCTTTACATGTCCCTACCTCTTTATTTCTTTATTTTACTTAAAAATTTCCACCTCCTCCCCTCCTCCCATTTTCCTCCCGCTCCGCCCACCTTTCCCCCTCCTCCTCCCTCTCCAGTCCAAAGAGCAGTCAGGGTTCCCTGCCCTGTGGGAAGTCCAAGGTCCTCCCCCCTCCATCCAGGTCTAGGAAGGTGAGCATCCAAACAGACTAGGCTCCCACAAAGCCTGTCCATGCAGTAGAATCAAAACCCAGTGCCATTGTCCTTGGCTTCTCAGTCAGCCCTCCTTGTCCACCACATTCAGAGAGTCCAGTTTGATCACGTGCTCCATCAGTCCCAGTCCAGCTGGCCTTGGTGAGCTCCCATTAGATCAACCCCACTGTCTCAGTGGGTGGGCGCACCCCTCGCTGTCCTGACTTTCTTGCTCATGTCCTCCCTCCTTCTGCTCCTCATTTGGACCTTGGGAGCTCAGTCCAGTGCTCCAGTGTGGGTCTCTGTCTCTGGCTTCATCCATCGCCAGATGAAGGTTCTATGGTGATATGCAAGATATTCATCAGTATGGTTATAGGATAGGGCCATTTCAAGCTCCCTCTCCTCAGCTGCCCAAGGATCTAGATGGGGACATCCCCATGGACACCTGGGTACACCTATAAAGTCTAGTCTCTTGCCAACCCTAAAATGGCTCCATTAATTAAGATATATACTTCCCTGCTCCCATATCCACCTTTCCTCTATCCCAGCCGTCCCATTCCCCCAAACTCTCCCCATCCCCCCTTCTCACTTTTTTTCTCACCAACTCCCCTTACCCCCATCCCACTCCCACCCCCAAGTTTCCAATTTTTGCCTGGCAATCTTGTCTTCTTCCAATATCCAGGAGGATAACTATATGTTTTTCTTTGGGTTCACCTTCTTATTTAGTTTTTTTTAGGATCATGGATTATAGGCTCAATGTTTTTTATTTATGGCTAGAATCCAGTTATGAGTGAGTACATACCATATTCATCTTCTTGGGTCTGGGTTACCTCACTCAGGATAGTGTTTTCTATTTCCATCCATTTGCATGCAAAATTCAAGATGTCATTGTTTTTTTTTACCGCTGAGTAATACTCTAATGCATACATATTTTACATTTTCTTTATTCATTTTTCCATTGAGGGGCATCTAGGCTGTTTTCAGGTTCTGGCTATTACAAATAATGCTGCTATGAACATAGTTGAACAAATACTTTTGTAGTATGATAGAGTATCTCTTGGGTATATTCCCAAGAGTGGTATTGCTGGATCCTGGGGTAGATTGATCCCAAATTTCCTAAGAAACTTCCACACTGATTTCCAATGTGGTTGCACAAGTTTGCATTCCCACCAGCAATGGATGAGGGTACCCCTTACTCCACATCCTCTCCAGCAAAGGCTATCATTGGTGTTTTTGATTTTAGCCATTCTGACAGGTGTAAGATGGTATCTCAAAGTTGTTTTGATTTGCATTTCCCTGATAGCTAAGGAGGTTGAGTATGACCTGAAGTGTCTTTTGGCCATTTGAACTTCTTCTATTGAGAATTCTCTGTTCAGTTCAGTGCCCCATTTTTTATTTGGGTTAATTAGCATTTTAAGGTCTAGTTTCTTGAGTTCTTTATATATTTTGGAAATCAGACCTTTGTCTGTTGCAGGGTTGTTGAAGATCTTCTCCCAGTCAGTAGGTTGCCTTTTTGTGTTATGACAATATCCTTTGTTTTACAGAAGCTTCTCAGTTTTAGGGGATCCCATTTATTCAATGTTGTCCTTATTGTCTGTGCAACTGGGGTTATATGTAGGAAGTGGTCTCCTGTGCCCATGTGTTGTAGAGTACTTCGCACTTTCTCTTCTATCAAGTTCAGTGTGTTCAGATTGATATTGAGGTCTTTAATCCATTTGGACTTGAGTTTTGTGCATGGTGATAGATATGGATCTATTTTCATTCTTGTCTAGGTTGACATCCAGTTGTGCCAGCACCTTTTGTTGAAGATGCTTTCTTTCTTCCATTGTATACTTTTAGCTCCTTTGTCGAAAATCAGGTGTTCATAGGTTTGTAGGTTAAAATCCAGATCTTCTATTCAATTCCATTGGTCAACATCTCTGTTTTTGTGCCAATACCAAGCTGTTTTCATTACTGTAGCTCTGTAATAGAGTTTGAAGTCAGGGATGGTAATGCCTCCAGAAGTTCCTTTATTGTATAGGATTGTTTTGGTTATCCTGGTTTTTTTTTGTTTTTCCACATAAAGTTGATTATTGTTCTTTCAAGGTCTGTGAAGAATTTTGTTGATGTCCCTACCTCTTATCCCCCTACCTAGGACATCCAAATCCACACGTGGTTCCGTTCATTAGGACCTCTGACCGTGATGCCAGCCTAAATCATGACCTAGCAGGGTGGAGGCTCACAAATATCCAGGCCAGAAGTGTCATTGTAGAGGTTCAATGGAGACCAGGGCTCTCAGTGCCTGTTTCCAAACCCTGCACCCCACCTCCCCCATGCTTAGATCTAGGGAAGCTCTTCCCAGTCAGTTCATATCCACTGCACCAACTTCCCCATAGCATCCATAGCAGTAGGGTCTCTCATCAGCATGAGCTCCTCTGAGCTTGGTCATCTCAATTATTGCCAGCTTCTAGGCTATGGTGCCCTGCTGGTCATTTGGTCGATGTCCAGTCTTTGACATCCCCAAGGCAAAAGAACTAAAAGTCTCTACTTTTCCATCAGTCAACACTGAAGTGTATGAGGTTTGCAAATGGCCTTAGGTAGTTAGCTTCTATGGGAAATTATTCAGAAAATCAGCATCCACCCCACCAGCAGTTGGTAGTAGGTAGAGAATAACACCAGTAAGACGGCCTTGTTGAATTTATTTTATAGGTAACAGATCTAGAGTCCTTATGTAGATTTAAATCCTAAGAGATGCACACGTTCAGAAACATAATTCAGAAACAGAATTAAATGTGAGTAGGAGGCTAGGAAATAAAGAAAAATGAAAATATATGGTGTGGAGAAAAACTTGTGATATTTCAACACTCTTGGTTACTGCAGTATCCATAATTCCTAAGACTACCTGGGATTCTCATTTATCGGAAGTTCTGGGAATGAGACTGTAGCCAGAATGTGTGTTTTTTTTTGTCATATAAAAGTTTCCCTACATTGGACTCACATTGCTTTAAAAAAAAATCCAAGCTGACAGGTGTAATTTTTCATCCTTTAATCAAGCACTTAGGAGTCAGAGGCAGGTAGATCTATGACTCCAAGGCTCTCAAACAAACAAACAAAACATTCTTAGATTAACTTAAATAAACATAAAACTCCAATCAGCCTTGGCTCAGGGTCCTGTCAGACACTTACCAGATGGCATAACTGGTAGCTACAGCTTAATGGCTCCCTGTCCCAAATAGACAGAGCATCATGTTCTTATGGGAGATGAAGTATAGTCTTGCTGTGGATGAAGCAACTCTCAAAGACAAGGTTTTATATAGGAAGAGATGTAGGTGGCACGCAGTTTCTGATAGAGAGCTGGAAAGCAAACCGTGCCCTGGAAACATACTAAGGACCCAGCTCTTTTAGAGATAAGGAATACAAAGAAGAGTGAAGACTCAAAGAAAAAAATGTGTTTGAAAACATAGGGTCACATATGTATTCAGCTTAGATGTCATATTTAGTTTTAGGAGATTGTTCTATATCTTAAAATAACTTTGAAAACCATTATTGTGTATCCATTAGAAAGGATATAAAATAATTCTCTACAATAGATAGTAACTGACCCGACAAGTAGTATGAACTATGTTGGGGTAAGGCTGAATTTAGCCTGGGATTCCCTGAAGAACTGACCTTAAGGTCATCGAATCTCCAGTCAGTAACTTGGTGTCATCCCACAAACAGATGAGCCCATGCTCTGACTCTCCCTGGAGAGAACTCCTGGACCCCTCCCACAGCTGCATGGTGAAGGTGTTCAAAGCCACCTTGCTTTGCTCCCTTGAGCACTTATTGGAGTAGATTCAGAGGCAGTAAATGCCTTAAACACAGATGGCTTCAGATCTGTCGAAATCTCTCAGCCCTGACCGTTTGTATAGAGATCACTCTGCTCCCCTAACATCTGTAGTGATGTTCTGCACCCGGGAGAGGTAATGCTTCAACTCCCCAAGACCCAAGTTCTCTGCTACTCCCGGCCATTGCAATTCAGCAAGCCAGAAAGGAAACTGTAAGACACCCCTGAAGGACACAAAGCAGACACAAGAACACAAGGTCTTCTGGTTCGTGCTGGGAAATGATGTGGGATTCCTATCTGTATGATGTGGTTATCATTAATGAATAAAAAAAACTGGTTTGGTCTGATAGGGTAGAACAGAGCTAGGTGG